AAGTTCTCCAAAAACAAAACCAAGTGCTTAAAACACTTATTTGATGTATTTGGCTAAGAAATCAAGTAAGACACTTTAAAAACCACGTCATTTGAGTGAAAACCACAGCTAGCCGAGTTTATGCCGTTTTGAATGATTTTTGTCAAACGACCAAAAGCGAAAGATGGTTTTCAAGGTGTTTTTGTTGGAGAACCGTTTAAACATGCCAAAGAGTGAAAACCAATCATAAAAAGTTGAAAACCACTTGGTTGGTTCGGACGCCAAAAACCATAGCCGATAACCGAGAGCCGAACGCCGGTTTCTGAAACCCGAACGCCGGATGGCTTGGTTTTTGGTTTGGGCGAACACCAAGTGTTTTTAATGTTTTAAACATGTTTGAAAAACATTTTTATGATGTGAGAAATGCAATGGGAGATTTTAGCCTAAAGAGCCACGGTGTAAAGATTGGGTCGGCCTTGATCACAATAAAGACCGACTCAACAACACTAAGTCTAATGTCTTCGTTCTTGGTCTTCTTTTAGCTCTTCTTCAACTTTTCCATTCTTCGCCTTGTATATATTTATTGTTTTGACTTGATCACGGCGGTTTGGCATTATCAAAACCTGTTACAAAAACGAACACGGCTTTAGTACGAAAACGTGACAAGCCCGTGTTTCAACAATTTCCCCCTTTTTGATAATGGCAAATGAGATGAGGTTATGCATATGAGGAGGTCTTTGAGATTTAAAAAAATGTTCCCCCTTAATAGATGCCATTTTATTTGAAAAATAGTTCCCCCTCAATTTATGCATAACCTTGATATCTTCCCCCTTTTGACATTAACAAAAAGAATTAAAATTGAATTTTAGGAATTAAAAGTAAACTTTTATTCATTAAGGATGAGAAAATGCTGAGTACAGCGGAATTGAGATAGATAAAAAAAATTGCAATCAAATTGGGGAAAGGAGAGAGAGAAGAGTCTAGGCAGCGGCGTCCTCGTCCTCGGCATCATCGTCTTCGTTCTCGTCATCCTCGTCGTCCTCGACGTCCATGGGATCCCCGTCGACCGCGTCCTCAAAGTCGGCCTCGTCGGGGGAGGAGGACGGAGCATAGGAGTTGTCGTTCTCGTCCTCGCCTTCATAGTTTTGGCCGAGGAAGGTGCTGTCAAAGGGTGGCGGGACGTAGTTGATGCCGCGGAAGTATGCCCGCATGTCGTGGCCTTGGCGTTGAATCGAACAGTCCATCCTCTCCAGGTACTGGCCCATGCCATCCACGGTGACGGTTAGCCGATTCAGGGTATCGGCTATGGACTGTAGTGAGGCCCGAGCGGGAGCAGGGGCAGTGGCAGGGGCAGGGGCACGGGCCCGACTCGGTCCAGCGCCTGTTTCGTCACCGGACTTCTTCCCGAAGGTGCTGTCTTGGATGATCCACAGCTTCGTCATCTTCGTGTCCGGCCCGGCGATGTGGATGTTGGCGGAGACGATGAGGTCCATGACGAGGAAGGCGTATGGCAAGCTCCTTTCGGTGGCGATTGAGGCGCAATCCGTCATGTGAATCATGACGTATTTTGCCCAATTGATCGAGGCGCCATGGATGATAGCGTGCACCACCTTGAGATCTTCGTTGGAGAGACTGGTGTGGCTACTGTCCCGAGGGCGAAGGATCCGGGTGATGATGTAGAGGAGGAGGCGCTTCTCCGGTGGGGCCGAGTGAATCGTCGGTGCGCCGTTGTGACGGATCAAGGTGGTGATCCCGAGCTCACGAATGACGACGGCCTCGTTGTTGAGGATCCAATCGTCGCCTCCGTATGACGCGATGTCGTCGCCGCGGGTAGGCAGCCCTGCGACCCTAGCAAAAGTAGCCAAGTCAAACTCTATGTCATAGAGATTGATGCTGCTCCGGATGGTGTCCCCGTCCCGGCGGAGATTGGAGTAAAAAGCCCGAACATAGGCTGGATTGAATGATTGATGGCTTCTGGAGACGAACGGCCACAGACCCGACTCTTTGAGTTGATTGTCGAGGTCGTGGTACCCCTTTTGTTGAGGGTACAGCTCCGGGAGCACGCGGGGAGGAGAGATCGGGCGCTTGGCGAAGTAGGTGATGAAGCGAGAGAGTTCCTCTTCCGACCCGAACTCCAAGAAGGACCCGTCGAGATACGAGAAGGGTTGAGGCGCAGAACTCGTTGCCTCGGCGGCGGCCTTCTTCTTCGAAGCTTTGGTCTTCTTTCCTCCGGCCATGATTGAAGCAAAAAATTGAAGAATTATGAAGAATAAATGATAAACTATGGAAAGATGAAATATGGAGGAGAATTGTGAGGAAGAATGACCAAGAATGGTGAATATATAAAGGAAAGGAGTGGAAAAACCGAGAAGAATTCAAAAAATATGACTGTTGGGCATTTAATTCATTGCCCAACGGTTAATTTTTTTGAATTTCGGCAGGCTCCCATCGATGGTATGATCTACCCATCGATGGGATGGTCACCACTGGAAAGCAGGGAAGAAATTAAGGCTGCCTTCCCATCGATGGTCAAACTCACCCATCGATGGGAGGGTGGCTACTGGAAATACGATAAAAGGCTTTTTTTTTTTTTAAAAAGGTGTCAAACACCCATCGATGGGAGAAAGTTACCATCGATGGGATGGGGGGTTCTGAAGAATTTTTGAAAAAAGTCCTTCACCCAGCGATGGGATAAACTACCCATCGATGGGTTAGGATGTTCTGGAAATCCGTTAAGTATTTAAAAAAAATAGAGTCAATTACCCATCGATGGGAAGAAGCACCCATTGATGGGAAGAGAGGTTCTGAAAAAAAGAGACTTCCCTCCCAGCGATGGTATGGCCTACCCATCGCTGGTTCCCCCTGATTTCCAGAATTCTTCACTTCGAACCGTCCCTGCAAAAAAGAGTTAGAAAACCCTCCGACGCTCAAGTTAGTAAACGTTCCAGTAACAATAAAAGAATGATAAAATGCACAAATTAGATCATCGTGGAGTCAAGGATTCCAAGTTCGCTACGAATGCAGAAGAACGACTCTTTCTCTAAAGGTTTTGTGAAAATGTCGGCTAATTGGTTGTGTGTTTCAACAAACTCAATTTCGACATCACCTTTGAGAACATGATCTCTAATGAAATGGTGCCTAATGTCAATGTGTTTCGTCCTTGAATGAAGAACGGGGTTCTTCGTCAAGCTAATGGCGCTAGTATTGTCACAACGAAGAGGAACGTGACTGATACTAAGGCCATAGTCCACGAGTTGTTGCTTCATCCA